ACCAAGCAGTCATCCCTGAAAACATATGCACACAAGTAACATTATACAAACTGAGCAGGTTGTACATATGTATTCAGGAATATATTCATATTCATATTTGCATCCAGCAAAGACTAACCATCAGAAATAATTCTTTTCCACATGCGAATTGTACTCCCATCAGATAGATTATCTTGCTTGTATGATCAAGAATAAGAAAGTATCTTTTAACGTGATTTATAAAAATGTGATGTAGCATACCTTAAGATTCATTTAGAAAGTTCAGTCCTACATTTGAGAACATATTTGAAAAATCTGTAGGTGCATGTAATTCAATCAATACTACAACACCTTTAAGGGGAATCAAAGGATTTTAAATTGCTGTAACAAGAGTTCAAGATTTGATTAGCACATATTTGTTTTCTTATTGAGACATCTATCCTAAATAAATCAGAATGTTTCTCCTTAAGTAACATAGTCTGTTTAAACGGCTTCATGCAATGATATAATATAATCCTTACATCAAGGTTTGCTTTTAAAAAAAAAAAAGTAGATTCTAGTGAAATATCATCTTTATATAAACATAGATATACTCGCTAGGCAGAAGTAAACAAGTTTCTTTCAATGACAAAGTATCAACAGTCCAAACTAAATCACATAAAAAGAAAACAGTAAACTCAGAATGCACATAATCTTAAGTAAAATAATAAATCTCACATTTAAAAATAGCATCCAATATCTCAAAGTATGTGTACATATTACAGGATGGACTACTAAATCAGTAAAGTAGGAAAATAATCCAGGACCACCAACAAGCAATGCAGTACTCTTAAATAAAATGGTCTGGCTTCAAATTCTAAACGTACAGATTACTAGCCTTATGACCTGGGGAAATTATTTCATCTTTCTGAACTTCCCTTTCTCTATCATGCCTGGAAGGGATCCTTTAAACACCCAAACCTGACAACATCTAGCATTCAGTACAGTTCAAACAAATAAGGGGGGTGGAAGTTTGCTTGGTGGTAGAGCACATGCCCAGCATGGAAAGGCCATGAGTTCTATTCCCAGCATACTTGGAAAAAAAAAAAAAACTACAAAAAGGTAAAAGAGTAAACTTCATTTTTTTCTCTCTAAACAGAGCATACCATTCAGTTGGAAATATGAAGTTGTCTACCTCAGGAACCAGCATGAAAGGGTCTCTATTCACTCAAAATCATAATTATTCGTCCATAAATATCTTCTGCACCCTACGTAAAGTCCAGCTTAACATTATGAGAAATGAAAGTCTGCTGTGAAAGTAATTTTTATTGTAGTTATGGGTAAAGAATGAAACATGATTTTAATCTCTACATTCATAAAATATAATTCTGTTGAGTAACAAATTGATACGAAAATTAAGTATATATATATTTTTTAAGTATTTAGCATTTTTAGAATAATCAAATATTGATGATATTCAATATTACCAACACTTGTTACAAATGACATCATATTCTTCACAATAATTTTTTTAATTCGACAGACTATAATTCGCCTGAAAGTAGTTTAAACTATTATGTAACAGAGCTATTCATTTATCTCGGGAATTGTTTCATTCCATTTTCTTATAAAGAAATAAATGTAAGTGACAGAATGAAACAAGAAATTTCAACAGTGTAGAAAGCTTTTTAATAAATTACATTTGGCAAATGATCACAGGCAAATTAACAAAAGCTGACTCATGATGATCTCATTTATTTGTTCTATACATATCTGATTAATCGGCATTAATTATGTTGATGGAAACAGGAGAACTCTATTGTTATACACAGATTAGAAATGTAAACACTTAGCATTTCCCACAACTACTTTGAATGTTATGTTAAATAACACTGTAAATACCAGATATGGTTAGGCAAGCAAAGTGCTCTACTGCCCCCTAATGAAACAACCAAATCAAAACAAAACAAAACAAAACAAGAAACTAATTTTAAAGTATCTGTGAACCACAAAAATCATCTTACTTTGCAAAATGCAGCCAATAGACACAAAGGACATTAGCTGACAATAACTAGACTATAGATCTGTCCAAAAGCTACAATCATCCATTTTTCATGATAAAATTAGTAGCAAAACAGGAAAGCCTTGAGACAGAAATATTCCTCCGGCAAAGATAACACAGCCAAACAATGTTATCTAGCGTGATAGCAAAAGAAAACTTTAAGCTTTGCAAGCTACCCGTTCATGCCATGTTGCAAACCACCACCAGGAAACCAGCTCCTTATAAACTACACTCTGGCGAGCTACATTATGTTTTTAGCTCAGTGCTCAAAAGTGAACGCTGAACAGATATCCTCTAATTTATACTGACTATATTCCTCTTAAGATCTCAATACATGTATATTTCCTGGGTAACTATGTCATAAAATACATATTTAAAAGAATGTCCACCTGCAGCTTATTATGTTAAATAAATGATTTTACAATATGATAATTTTATACTTTGCAGTTCTTTCCATTATAACATAAGTAGTCCTGACTTCTAATGTTTCAACAAAAGCTCTTCATTTAATAAATTTTGTTTTCAAATCCTGCTCCATACCCTTATACTTTTACTTTTAGCTTATTGACAATTCCTGAATTCTCATCTCAGAACACAGAAAAATGAGAGAGAGAGAGCACAATACAGTTTGTAGTCTTTAATAACAGAAGTTACACCAATATTAACACCAAGCCGGCACATGAAATGGAAATAAAAAGAATGAACTCATGATAACAAGAGGATGGAAACAAAAATTCAACTCAAGGCAGAATTCAGCAGGTCACTGAGGAGACAGTGTAGTCATCAACCGTTCCTTGAAGCACAGCATCACGTGGACACAGCGTGTCCCTGTGCAAGTTGACAGTGCTTTTACATTCCATGGTGTGCTGCTGTCAAGGAAGTATTAGGAAAATTGTCTAGGGTCAAGTCCACACAGTTTCACAGGGGAGAGGCAGTACAAAGAAGTGGATCAATGTGCCTAACAGGGTGAAGAGCTCGCACCTCAGTGGGTGCTGCTCTCCTTGCTGTTCTACTGGGAATGACAGTGGTGCTCTAGCTCAGCACGTTGTGAGGCTAACTAATGCTCATATGTAATAAGATCCAACAAAAATTTCAAAAGAGCAACAAATAGAAAAATGTAAATATCCCTGAACCCATATCACAAAGGAGCTAGATTTCATATCTGTACTGACTTCCTGGGTAACACAAATTAAAAAAAAAAAAAAAAAAAAAAAAGACTGCCTCACTAGAAAAAGTATTCTTTCATTTGCACTATCTAACAAGGAAACAGACACATGAGCATAAAGGCATGTGTTTATGCCTATGTGATGAAGCTGGGAGGCCTCGGACATCCCAGAGTGAACTGCCATGAAAGCCCTGGTGCTTGAAGCATATCAAATATTTGGTAAAAATAATATCCCTTATCGCACATAGTGCTGTAGCTACTGGAGTAAACACGCAATAGCCATAGAGAAACAGTTACAGCACAGAGCTACTTGAGTGTGCATATTTTCACTCATGGGGGGCCCCAGGCTACTCCAGTGTGTTTCAGACCATTCTCCTAAACTAAGGAAATGCCTTCCTTGGTTCCCAGGAGAGAGGGGACTTCCTGGGCTGTCCCTGTGCTCTTGAGGTCCCAGTAGGCACAAGTAGTGAAAGTATACCAAGAAAAAAAAACAAGACATGATAAAGGAAAGAGAAAAGAAAATGACAGTAATTACATTAGCAAATAAGTTTAGTAGGAAACTTTGGCCTGACACAAATGGATTGATTGGTTGATTGATCTGTTTCAGCTACCCATATTGTACTGATATAGTGATGATGATAAAAACCAGTACGTACAGTGAATTTACCACATTGGCCTTAGTGCTTTACACACAGTAGACATGTAATCCTACAGAAACCCTACAAGATAGATACTCTATCCTACAAAGAGAGAAATGAATAGTCCTACAAAGATCAGGTGTCCTGCCTGACTTAGGTCACTGTTAAGTTGCAGCACCAAGAATAATATACTTCTCAGTTTGACACTTGATCAGTAAGTTTGTATTATTTTCCAATGAAAAATATGTGAAAGGAAATGATTTTGGAACACTGCATTAAAGTAATTCATTATATATAAGACTTAAATCACATCAATATTTTGTGGTTATATAACCTGGGCTGGCTACTGGCCCAGTTCTTTAAAAAGACAAAAATACCTATGACATAATAACTAATTGTGAACACACTATCAAAGTACATTCTATCCCATTATAAATGCAGCTACTGGAAGAATACATTCAGTCTCTGTAACCTCTCCATCTTCAGCACCCCATTTCCCAGTTCTATTTAAATATCTCAAGATGATACAAAGTCTCATCTTTTTAGAGGGGAAATTTACTCTCCCTTTTCTCTCTTAAAAGGTAATTACTATACAAAATATGACAGGTAGCTCCCATTACCTCTGAAATATATTTCTCTATAAGCCACAGTGGGAACCTTTCATGGCATGTCTTTCACCTATATTAATTATGTTCAGGTTATTCTAAAATTGATACTAAAGGAGAAACCACCCTATGATGTAAAACTGATGCAAAAATCTATCTTGCAAGAGTTAGGATTTAAACACATGAACACACTATTCCCCAAAATGTAATTCAGATTATCCCACTGTCCCAAAAACTGGCTGGACAACAAATATCTTTTTCCCTTTATGTATGCAGCTTACAGCTTACATACATACACATACACATACATACACACACACACACACACACACACACACACACACACACACGGGGGGGGCATCAAAAACAATAATTTAATAGGAACTCCATAAAGTTTTACATTACACAAATTAAGAAGTTGCAAAATGGTATTTAAAAAAAAAAAAAAAGCACATTACAGGATTAGCTGTTGTAATTGATTTGCACTTACATTTGAAATCCAGGCTCTTCTCTCCATGAAGTGTAAGACCTAACAAACAAAATACCTCATTTCCCCAGGGCATGCCTCTCACCTTGGAGTCTTCCTTGCTTACCCCCAGCTGCAGCAGGGCCTGAGGAGACTGCAGCTTTGCTTGAGCAGAGTGAGCCATTTGCAGGTTAAGCTGCCATCCCACTGTCTCTAGCTACAAAAGACAAGTGAGGGTTAGGTTCAGATGGTAAAGACAAAAAAAAAAAAAACCAAAACAGTTAACTCTAAGCACATTTCCCTCTGTAGGAATCAACACAAATAGCCTGGACTTAATGGAAAGTCAATTTCAGGCTCCTTTAAGCTGAAATGTCTGTAAACTTTCCCTCTAGACTCAGTAGATCAGCCTCCTGTCATACCTGACAAATCCAACAGTAAAAGTGTTTTCTAAACAGACTACTCTAGACAATAAAAATGCTATCAATCCAAGTACACAAAAAGAGCTGACAGTGGGTTGATTTATTGGGAGGGTGGACAGACACAGAATGTTTCTCAAACCCATTATGTAGCCCAGGATGGCCTTCAAATCCTGATCTTCCTGCCCCACCTTCCCAAGTACTGTAATTACTGACATGAGCTACCATATCCAGTTCAGCCAATGGTTTTTAAAACCTTACTGTTATTTTAAGATAAGTAAGTTACAAAGATTTATATTTGTTGATTATTTTTTTAATCCTGACCACAGTTTCTCCTCCCTTCTCTCCTCCCAGTCCCTCTGCCCCCTCCCTTCTCCTACCACCCCCCACCAACTCCCCAATCTACTCCTCCATTTCTCTTCAGAAAAGGGCAGACCTCCCATGGTATCAACCACCCATGGCATATCAAAGTGCAGAAAGACTAGGCATCTCCTCTCCTATTAAGGCTAGACAAGGAATGGGTCCCAAAGGCAGGACACATTGAGTCAGAGACAGCTCCTGCTCCCCCTGGTAGGAGTCCCACACCATGATTTACAGTCAGTAAGAAGACAGCCAGGCAAGAAACTGCTGACCTATGAGCTAGCCCGTGGTACCAGAGAGGTCATTATACTTTGCCAAGTATACTAACTTATTATGGCTCCCAATTACGGTGGAAACTGATTGTTTCCTTTGAATTTACTAACACAGAGTACATGTTAATCAGGTAGGACAAAATTAGGTTCCCTATTACATAGCACAAACAGCTTTAGGAGACTAGACTCAGCAGTATGACCATGTGGTTTTAGATTTAGTTCCCCGAAAGTCTCAAGTTTCAAGCTTTGTGAAGTGCAGTAGCTGCAAGCCTCTGACAACACAGCCTTCGTGATGATTTAACCAAACCACCTTTGCTACACAGGGTCTGAATGCCAGCCTCACAATGCTTACTCAACCAGAATACTAATCACTCAATTTGAAAGACATTTGAGCAGACACAGCAGTGACTCAAGGCCAAGCTGAAAAGAGTGCAATGAAAAGTATCATCAGTGTGGGAGAAGATGTGATGAGAAAACAGAGGCACGCTTCTGCTTCTCCCGGCTCTTTCAGAGGTTTAGAAGAGAATAAAACCTACAGCCCTTAACAAGTCAAAACTCGCTTTAAAGGTGTATATTAAGGAGCCTTAACATGCTGACCGCTAACACTGACCAAAACAGTCTCTGGGAAGGTATCTAATATGAGCCCACTGCTGTTTTCAACACTCATAAGAACAGACCTCCAGAAAGCATTGACACATCCGGTCCTTGGGAAAAGCACCTTCTAGGTATTCACATGGATCTGAAAGTAGTTCCTGACCTTACCGGCTGAGCCCACCCATGCTGTAAATTAATGCATGCCTCTCGGTGCTGCCTAACACTGGTGCAAGACAACCACTACTGAATGTGAACATCCTGCTTTGGTTCCCAGGGAAGCCATCATTCCCTCAGCCCCGGCAAAGGCAGAGTCTTTCAAGATCTCCATCCCCATATAAAACAGAAGTCCATCTACCTAAGCCATCTGCTTATCCATCTCCTTTACAGCTATCAAAACAGAAAACAGAAATGATAAATACAAGATGGTGTAGTCACTTAACTTTTTCTGTACCTCTCGAGTGCTCACCAAAGTGAACGATGGCTGTTACCCTTCTCTTCAAAAAGTACCACAGATTGTTTCTGAGTCCCTACCTTTTCTCTAACCCAATCTCAGAATTCCACTTTGTTCCTTCTTTAAAGACTCAGTAACTGTCTTACAAAACAAATCCAAAATTTTAAGTCCTAAGTCTGGTATACCAATTTCATCAAATGTGCGAACTAACTACCTTTCCAATCCTGTGTTGTAACATCCCTTGAAAGCTGTCTATAGCCCCGCCACACTGAACCAAATGTGAGTCCTAGGATACACTATGCTGTCTGCATGTCTCTTCTTTGGCTCCTACGTAATGTCTGCGGTTTTTCCTTCTCTTCCCTCTGTAGTTGTCACTCTACTTCTCAGGATACTATTTCCTTTCCTATTAGTATTTAGATCAGAATATCGTAGGAATCTACCTACATCTCTTCTCAGGGTTGACTATAATCTCCATAATGATGAAGCAAGAATCAATCACCTTCATATCCCTGTAACCTGCAACAGCCCTGACAGGGATTCTTTAAGAAGGCGTATTCACACTAAAATGAATGAGTGAGGGAATGAATGACAACTACAGAGGGAAGAGAAGGAAAAACCGCAGATATTACGTAGGAGCCAAAGAAGAGACATGCAGATAGCATAGTGTATCCTAGGACTCACATTTGGTTTCCAACTAGATATGGTTTTTAAGAAGTCAGAACTATAACTTAAGAGCCAGAATTTTCTTGGTTGGTTAGCATGTCTATTTCTGTCTCCCCTTCCCCCACAACTGAGAGAGAGAGAGAGAGAGAGAAAAGAGAAGAGAGAGAGGAGAGTTAATTTGCTATCTACTGACTAAAGCATGCCTAGTAGATACTTTTTTTTTTTTTTTTTTTTTTTTTTTTAGTGAAGAGTAAGCATTACCCTATACTGCCATTTGGTTTAGTAACTGTCAAAACTGTGATCTTGTGGGCTTATGTTTAAGTTGACCTTAATTAAGCAACTGACTTCTCTCTCTCTAAGCTTCAATTTACTCATCAACACAATAGGGAAATCATACCACGTCAGTAACTTATGAAGAGTTAAATGCCATATCATCTCCTTAGTGCCATCTATGGTCCTAACTTTTCCACATCTGTACAATTTCCAATATGTCTGTCTCTTCCTAAATAGGTATGTATTCATTCACAATACAGTCATAAATATCTTCCTGTGCTAAAAGTACACATTATTATTTTGACAAGTATAACTTATAATTTAAATCAAGCAACTATCACGCATTTGACTTTTAAGTTTAACAACACATGAATTTTTAAACATATATTTTTGGTATGTTTATTATGCATATTTATTTTGGAAAATTATTAAAAAGAAATGAGTCATTTCACAAAAAAGTAGAACTTTACTTCTAAAAGGTACTAATTGGGGATCAACCATTTGATAACCGAAAAGTATAGAATATTATCTTTTAACAATGCACATGCATTTACAATTGCATCCAATTTTGGAAGAGTTCTCCACCACCCTCTCCACATAAAAAAACCTATTAAGAGTGTCTGTGGCCTTGACTACTGTTGGAACACGGTCCAAGAAGGCAGTCATGTGAGGGGAATTCTGAGTGCTTATAAGAAAACTTCAAGGAAAAAAAACAAGAGTCTTAAAACTTATGTTTTTTGAAAAACATGGCATTGTTCCTAGAACGTGCTTTCACACCCCTCCCAGGTGAAGTGGATAGGAGTGAGTTCACTTTAGATTATTCACTACAACTGGCTGTTTTTATATGCCTCTATGGAAAAACATGTTTGCCATATGCAGCTTGTCCTGTGATTACATACTCAAGTGACCTTTCTTAACCCTCAGAGTATCTGATGCTCTGAATAAAGTTGACTAGTTTGAGACTTTAGTTCACGCAGTTTTAGGCACCATTCTCCCAGTTCCCACCACCATTCTAAAGCAGTCTACAGACCAGCACGGAGAATAACTGATAAACAGATATCCACAGGCAAAGCTGGGGGCTAAGAGATGGCTCAAAGGTTAAGAACACTGGCTGTTCTTCCAAAGGTCCTGAGTTCAATTCCCACCAACCACAAGGTGGCTCATAAACCTCCATAGTGAAATCTTGTGCCCTCTTCTGGTGTGTATCTGTACATGCAGGCATAATAATGTATAAGTAATAAATAAATCTTTAAAAAAAAAAAAAAAAAAGGCAGGCAAAGTCAACAAACCCATGAGTCTTAGTCCATAAGCAACAGAAGACAAGCAAGCAGCCTATTGCTACTGACCATGCTTCTTTTGAAGGCTTTTTCTATTCCCCATAGTATAATGAGTATGTAACTGTTTGCTGATTTCTGCCTGCTATCTAAGCGCCTGAGCAAACTGCTGAGTACGCGCTGCTCATCCTGCACACACACAGGCTCACAAATGGAGTTTCACAGAACAGCAGTCAGTACCCCGAAACATTAAAGGAAGAGAGACTTCAGAAGGTAAACACACTGACTACAGGGGACAAGCTCACAAACAAATAAAAAAGAGGGGGGAAAGTCTCTTTTCAGTGGACCTGGGAGACAAAGAAAACATTGTGAGACAGGTACTTTTACTAGCTACAATTCACAGACTACAAAGGAAAACAAAGAAGACAACTTGTTGATCAAGGTAAAAGAGCAAATGAATATCCCTTCTATTACGACTAAAACCTTTAAGTCTGAAATCACGTCAGAATAAAAACTTAAGAGAAACTGATTTAAGTGAGAGTCATCAGCACATGTTACATGAAAGCAGAAAATGGGTCAGGGACATAACTCAATTTGTAGAGTGCTAGCCTGACCAGCACAAGGCACAGCGTTCCCTATTAAGTCCTTAATCTGGTGTGGTAGCGCATTCCTGGAATCCAAGTACCCAGAGGTAGATGGAGGAGGCCCAAGGACATCCTCAACTTTACCCAGTGAGAGTCTGACACCAGCCTGGACTAAAGATCCTGTCTCAAAAAAAAAAAAAAGTGTACCTGATTAGTGCATAGTCATCAATGTAAATGCCAAAGTATCTACTCCCATTGCTTTTGTGTTACAAATGGGGTGGGGGAGGGGGAATTCAGTGTGGAAAAATTTCACCATCTAACCCAAGAGGT